GTGTCCGATCGGCACCGTGTGCAATCGACACCGTGTCCGATCGGGAAATATTGTCGTGTCCGATTTGTAATGTGCGCAATCGGGACAATCCCGTGTCTTCGATGTACAAGATATATGCAGCAATACTAGCAGAAAAAATAAGGAAAGAAGTAGAGGCGAAGAACTTGATTCCCGAACATCAAGCAGGATTTAGAAAAGGAATGAGGACGATGGACCAAATATTTGCACTGAACTACTTGGTAAATAGACAACTGGGAAAGGAGAAAGGAAAGATGACAGTAATATACATAGATTTGAAAGCGGCGTTCGACTCAGTGGACAAAGAAGTATTAATTAGGACGATGAGAGAGAGAGGTGTAAGGCAGGGACTAGTAGATAGGGTAAAGGAGGTATTGAGAGAAACGAAGAGTAGGGTAAGAATGGGAAAAGAGAGTGGAGGAACATTCTGGATGGCGAAGGGCGTGAGACAAGGGTGCCCGTTAAGTCCGATAATCTTCAATCTATTAATCGCGGATTTGGAAGACTATATGAAGAAGGGAGGATGGGGAGGTGTGAAACTGAGAGGGGAGAAGATATACACATTAATGTATGCGGATGATGTAGCGTTGATGGCGGAGGAGGAACAGGACATGAGATCGATGATAAGCAGGCTAGAGGGATACCTGGACAGGAAGGGATTAACATTGAGCATAGAGAAAACAAAAGTAATGAGATTCAGAAAGGGTGGAGGAAGGAAGAAAAAGTATGACTGGAGATGGAAAGGAAAAAAATTAGAGAAAGTTAAGGAATTCAAATACGTTGGATATATTAGGTTGGCCAATAAGTCTGTGCGGTTTTTATAAGTATATATTTATACTTATAAAAACCGCACGGACTTATTGGCCAACCTAATACATTAAAGGAAAATGGGAGACAAAAGGCGCACATTAGGGAAAGAAGAAGAAAGGCGGCAAGAGTAATGAGGGAAGTCTGGGGGATAGGGGAAAAATGTGGAAAAAGAATTGGAAAAGAAGGATCTGGTTATACGACACCTTGATATGGACAGTGATGGGATACGGAGCGGAAATATGAGGATGAAAAGAAAGGAAGGAGGTAGAAGGTATACAGGAGAGATACCTCAGATGAGTATTTAAATTAAATTGGAGGACACCAGGGTATATGGTAAGAGATGAAGTGGAGAGAGAGAAGATGAGAGGCAGAGCAAGTAAGAGAGCATGGAAATTAAAAAAAAACTGGAAGAAGGCAAAAGAGAAAGAATAGCGAGGAAATGCCTGGAAGAAATAAAAGAGAGACGGAAAAAAAGGAAGATAATAGGAAGGTGAGAGCAGGAGAGAAAGAGTTACCTAGAAGAGATTAGGGTGGGAGCTGAAGAAGAAGAGGAATTGAAAGGTGAAACTTTGGAGAATAAAGAGAAATTGAAACAAAAACAAGGATAGAAAAGATCATATGCTCGAAATACAACCGGTGGTATAAGATTATAAGGAAAGACGGGATCCCGGAATACTCGGAGAGAGACTGAGAGAAAGCAAGGTGGAGTAGGATTGCAAGGTTTAGACTCGGTAATGAAGTTAGAGAAAGTCTATATTGGGAAAGAAAGGAGAACAGAAGATGTAGGATGTGTGGGAAGGAAGAGGAAACATGGGAACACATATGGGACGAGTGTACGAGATGGGAGAAGTGGGACGGAGAAGGGTGGCAGAACGTGGTGGGGGATTACTGGGAGAAAAAAGAGAGGGAGAGAAGTGAATGAAAGCAATAGAGAAAATAAAACAAGATGGAGGAAGGAGAATGGGAAAAGAAAAGGGATGACAGTGAAGAGAGTAGGGGTAAATCGGAGAGAAAGAAAGGAGAAAAAAAAGAGAAAAGAAAGGAGAGGGGAGAAAGGCAGAAGGCCAAAGAGGACCGCGGAGGACGAGATAACGAGAAGGTTGAAAGAGAGTCTGTTAATGGATGCGGATGAAGACGAAGACGATAGGAAAAAGCTGAAGAAGGGAGAGTAAGAGAAATGTATGATAGAAGGGAGAGAGGAAGGGTGATAGAGAGAGAAGCGTTAAGGAAGAGAGAGGGAAGAGGGAAAAGGAAATAAGATAGAAGGATTAATACAGTTATTTTTCAGAGTGCGGAATTGAGGAAAGCTGAAGAAAATAGACAGAAGGGTGCCGGATGGAAAACGAAGGGAAGGAAAATGAGGTCGCTATGGCCAGGACGGGATAGGAAGCACGAGCTATGTACAGGGTTAGGTACGTCCCTTCAAAATGCCAATGTTCGTATGTTTTCGCAAATTTTAAGATTTTGTCTAGTGTGAAACTGTACAGGGTTGGGTACGTCCCTAAGGTAAAAAAACGCCCTTTAAGACCCCTTTGGGGTAAATAAAGTAACCATTATCTATCTATCTATTAAAGACATTGTCCGACTGATCAACAAGGATTGCAAAATACTTCTATACGCGGATGACATAGTTGTATATTCCACCAATAAAAACCTATCCAGGGCCATTTTAACCATTAATGAATCTATATAAAAAATCACGGATTTGTTTAAAAAACAAAGGCCTCTTCCTCTCCGCTAATAAATCACAGGCAATGATTTTCACACGTAAGCAAAAAATGCCTTTTTTGTGCCGGACCTAACCATCAATGGCATATCGTTACAATACAGCGAAATGGTGAACTTTTTGGGCATCATGATCGAATCCAACTGAGCGGTAAACCTTACTTCAATTACGTTATCAGCAGGTGTAGAAGAGCTCTCAGCGTTTTGAAGGCCCTGGCAGGAATATCCACCATATGGTGGGTCGCACACCCACAGCAATTAATGACAATCTACAGAGGCATTATTCGCAGCAATATTGACTACAGATGCCAAGTCTTCCAACTTTGCGGCAACCTTAGCACTTTTGAGCAGCTGCAGCGTATTCAGTACAAGGCCATTCAAACGGCGTATGGCTATAGCCTACCCCCATTCTTATTAGACGAAGCCAAAGAACCCTCATTACAGTTCAGATTCAAGTACCTCACCTCCAAATTAGTCATCAAGAACATCAGCCAAGAATTCAGCCCGGTTACCACCAGTCTGGACGATCTAATTACAGCCACCAGACATCCCATTCGCCATGAAAAAGCCTGTAAATACATGCCCCTTTATAAACATTACCAATCCATTTTAAGCAAAACCGAAAAAATCTATTGCTCCACTTTCCTCCCTGTTTTCAACCATAGCTTTAACTCATTAATCCATATTATTCACTACACACCTATCCATTTTCACTCTGACATCCAAAACGTTAATTCTATTTTCCTTGAAAGCACTCAGGACCTGAGGAGAAATGCTGTCTCGTTTTACACTGACGGTTCCAAAGACGAGTCAGGCTTTGTGGGCGCCGGCGTATACTCTCCAGACTTGGACTTTCAACTGAGGCATAAATTGCCAACCGAAGTTACCATCTTTTCGGCTGAGGCTTGGGCCATCCTCCAAGCACTTATAGTTATCTGGCAAATGGACCTTGAAAAAGCTGTAATATTCTCAGACTTCAAAAGCGTCTTGGAAAACATATGCTCGAACGCAGCCAACCAGCAAAATTACATCATACCTCGAATTAAAGATCAGCTTTTTTTCCAAAAATATAAACCTCTAGTTGGCCTGGATTTCTTCCCATCGAGGCATCACGGGGAATGAAATCGCAGACAAGACAGCCAAAGAAGCCTCTAGAAGGGGTGAAGTTTTTGACTTCAGAATACCGCACAGTGATTACTACTCGATTTTTAAATGCAAATTACGTGCGCAAACTAGCGAGTACCTCCGATGCCGCGGTTCTTAAAAAAGGCGTCTATTTTTATAATTACTTTCATTCGGGATAAGATCGCCCATGGTTTTATAAAAAGCCATTTAAAAAAAAGGAAATAGTCTTAGCCAACAGATTGTGTAGCGGGCACTATAATTTAAATCATTGCCTAGCCAGGAAAAACATTATAGACTCGGGAGCTTGCCCTTGTGGCTACCCCATTTAAGACATCAACCATGTAGTTTTTGACTGCAAATTATTTTCCGAGAAAACCTCTTATTTACTTAAATATATTAAAAAAACTTTTCCTCACCCTCCCAAAGACATTCTTTTTCACTTGAGTAACCCTTCTCATCAATTCATTCGCCTTCTTGCAACTTGCAAATCCATGGACCTTCAACTTTAGTTTCCCTCTCTGGCGGGAACGAGAACCGGCAGCGCTAATCAAATACCATTCCCGGCCGCGGCGCGCCACGGTGCTCACGTCGACCATCACTCGACGCACCATCTAGTATCGACGCCTACTACGGCCTACAACAGTTGCAAGACACGCCGTTGCGGCTCACATGACGGGATTCGAACGTGGACTGTTCGAGTGAGCGGACGTGTCATCATCTCTGCGTGTTCGAGCGTTTTGCGTGCTTGTCGGATCAAACTAGTTTTCGGTTAAGTCGCGTGAATCATTTTATCCACCGTCAGATCGCGTAATTATAATTATATACGAGCTATAAGCCCCCTTGATAGCTCTACGACATAATTTATTACCGTGAAGTGTGGTTATCTCAGCCCGGTCAGGCAACCTCTTTCTCTGGATAGTGGTGTTGCGGAAATAATGCGAGGGGCTTCGGCCTCTCGCACTGGTGTAGAAGGGGGGGAGCATCCTGGGATTCCTCCCCATCCTGATAATAGTCGTGCAACATCCGTTCACATTTCAGCCCCATTAACACAATACGAAAGTTTCGTGTCTCAACATGCGAGCGAAAATTCAATCCCGCACAGAATAACTCCACACTCTCGCGTGTCTGTGTCGGACATTCTCAAAATCAGCGATAAATATCTAAATAACAAAAAAGAGAGTCCGCGAGACAATCCCCTCCCAATGGACGAGGACGAGAGTGACGAATATATGGACACGATGCCGGCGAACGGCAAGGATATGTCCTTGACGCCTGCTGTAAACGATTCAAATAACACCACCCTCCCCCCATAGTAGGCAACGATCGAAAGAGGACTTCGCCATCCTCGGACTCGGATGTGCCCAACAACTCAGGTAACACCCCCAAAATTAGCAAAAAAGAGTCGAACAATCGCGCGCCGCAGGAAGGCGCACTCGCTCTATTGCCCAGTGAGTCGACATTTAAATATTCCCACACGGATAAATCGCCATTTTCGGTATTTGTCCAATCCACCAAGAAGGAGGCGACCCCTCCCTACACTCCCTTAATGTCAGCAGGCTAATTGCACAATTTGCGTACAAAGATGTAATCGAAGTCCGTAAAACCGGCCGACGTAGAGTCACGATAGACTTTCGTTGTCGCGTAGCTGTAAATAATTTAGTTAATAATCCTATACTAAAGGCACATAACATTAAAGCCTATATCCCGTCATTTAAAGTACAAAGAATAGGCATAATCAAAGACGTGCCCAAGGAATTTGCAACGGATTCGTTGGCAGAATACATTGAGTCACCCGTTAAGATACAAAGCATCGATCGGTTAAATCGTCGCGTCAAAGTAGGCGAAAAATTTCAGTTTCTTCCATCTCGCACGCTAAGAATCAAGTTCGCGGGTCAAGCTCTCCCGAACTCGGTTAGCTTGTTTAAGGTTAAATATAAGGTATATCCATTTATACCTAAAACACGTATATGTTACTCATGCTTTAGAGCTGGTCACATCGGTAGCCAATGCAAATGAAGTCCCCGATGCTTATTCTATGGCAAAGATAAGCATGACAAGGATGAAGAGTGCCCCCACAAGGACAACCCACCCAAACTGTGGCGGCAATCACCGAGCCACATCGGTGGACTGCCCAATAATTCTACAACATAAGCAAATCAACGCTTTGGCCGCTACGAAAAATGTATCATATATTGAGGCTAGAAGAAAGGTTAAAGGCAATAAACTGTCCGATGATCCAAGGTTTGACTTTGTCAATTTTCCGAGTACAAGTACTTGAAACACAATGGCAAGTTTCTCTATCGGTAGTAATAATATGCCGCCGCTTCAGAATAGGTTTGGTCTTTTATCTAAAGATGTAGCCACATATTCAGATCATGATTGCACAGAAAACCCTATTTACGCTAATATAGCGGCTAGACCCTCTCATCCGCGCACATCTCCTCCGAGAGGTGCCATCACTAAATCGACTAGCGCACGTAACGACTTCAATCGTATCCTATCTACAATTCTCAGCTCAGCATTACGAAGCGCTGTTTTATCCCAACGGCAGAATATCGAACGGCTCAACTCCCTCTCCCATTCTGGCTTCTACTCCGAAATCATCAGACACGGATGCTGATGACAGAGCTCCTTCTACATCTACGACCAATAGAGACTATGCACCCAACTTTTCATTTATAATACACCCTCTCCTACAAGAAGTCGAAGAATTTCTTAAGAACCAACTAGCTAACCTTTTCCACTTTTTCAGCCTTCAAGAACCTGTCAATCAACAATCGACTCAGCATACCACTCCTAATCTTAGCGGTGACATCTGTCACGTTCCCGTCGCAAGGGCATAACTCCTCACTGGTAAAAATCAAAATCCTGCAATGGAATTTTAGAGGAATACAAAGTAAACTGCCAGACCTGCAACTATTGGCAGAAAAATATAATATCTTCTGTATACAAGAAACTCTCCTTTCGGAGGTGAGTAGAATAAGCGTTAGAGGCTTCTATGCTCTAAGGTATGATATTGTGAACCCGGGACTATGCGGCATTTGCTTCCTTCTAAGATCAAATATCAAAGCAACCTCTGTACAGCTACCCTTTATACTACATCATTCTATTAAGGCGGCTGCCATTACTCTATTGTTCCAAGACAGCGAGTTACTCGTGCTCAATGTTTACAGACACTCCAACAACGACACCCCAGCACACGCACTTAATGATATATTTAACTTTGCATCCGGTTACAAATATGCACTCATAGTGGGAGATCTAAATGCGCATCACCGCCTTTGTGGCTGTGCACGCAATGACAACATTGGCAACCGACTGGCATCTCGCATCGAGTCGCACAACTATCTCATACTCAACGACTTTACAAGTACGCGCTTTAATCCAAATACCAACAGCGGCTCCATCATCGACCTCGCCCTCGCGTCTTTGGACCTTGCTGGCGTCTGCTGTTTGCGCACTCTGGACGATCCCATGGCCAACGATCATTATCCAATCGAAACTATTATCAACGGAACAGCGGCCAAAGTCAAGCGTTTTGCATATAAACTAAAACTAAGCGACATTCAACTCTGCGAACTCAGCATCAAATTGGAGAAAAGTCAGGAATCTTCCATCATAAGGAATCTTCCGATAACGAACTGGAGGACTATGAGAACGTGGTAGACTACATAAAAAAAACGGCTACAGAAATACTTCGTGAGCAAGGTAAAGACGGCAAAGTTGGTTCCAGAAACGTCGCTTATAAGGGTACTTCTGCCCCATGGTGGAACACGAAGTGCACTGAGACAGTTAAAGAACGCAAAACGGCTTTGGAGGTTTTTAAGCGGGATCCTTCCAGAGATACCTATCTAGCGCTTAAACGTCAAAATAGAGAATGCAGGCGTATCCTTTCCAAGCAGAAAAGGAATGGATGGCGCTTCTTCTGCACGAACTTTAGCTCTAAAACTGCTACCTCAGAAATATGGCAACTGGTTAGAGCCTTCCAAAAACAAAGACAAATGCGCCTTTACGGACCACAAAATCCTCGAGTCCTCGCAACAGGCAGCGGTCAACAAATTATGCCCACCTTCCTGCTCTCCACCACTAGCTCCTTCACTGCGTGACATGCAAAGGGAAGATGAAACTTTGCCAAACATACAGTTATGGATGGATCAAACTTTCTCCATGAACAAGCTCAAATCGGCTCTGGCATCTACTAAGGCGTCTTCATCCCCGGGTTTGGATCAGGTAAACTACGCAATTATAAAAGCTCTTCCTGAAAGCTTCAAAGCTCACTTATTGGACATCTTCAACAAAATTATTGCAAAGGGCACTTTCCCGGACAGTTGGAGGAAATCGCTAGTAGTATTAATTCCCAAACCGAACTCGAATGGCGTTCGCCCAATCTCATTGTTGTCCTGCTTACTTAAAACACTGGAAAAATGTGTTTATAATAGACTACGTTGGCATCTCAAAGCCAATGATATATTTTCAGAATCTCAATTTGGCTTCCGCAGCTTTAGATCGTGTGCGACAGCCTGGAAATACTTTCAAATGTCATCCATCTTGGACTTATTAATGGCAAATTCACCGTTTGTGTGTTACTGGACATCGCGGGAGCATTCGACAACGTTAGGCCGGAAATATTGGAAGAGGACCTCAAGGAAGCTGGCGTTTCGGCGGGCATACGCTGCTTTATAAGTAACTTGCTGCGTAACAAGAAAATCTTTTTCTCTCGTGAAGGCAATATACAGGGCCCTTGTAACACCCACCAGGGTGCCCCACAGGGATCCATACTTAGTCCTCCGCTCTTTGGCCTCTATGTCAAAAACTCTAAACGGCAGCTAAGTCCAGGAGTGTACTCCCTGGAATATGCAGATGACATAGTTGTTTATACCACCCACAAGTCTATTGAAGAAGCGTATCGGCTGATAGAGGCCTCCTTAGAGGCACTGAATCGCTATCTGCGCGCTAAAGGCCTTGATCTGGCCCCCGCCAAGTCCCGCTGTATGGTGTTTACGCGAAAAAGAGTATATCGTCTTCCTAAACCCAATATAATGATAGATGGCATCGCCGTACCAATGGCAAGCGAACATAGGTTCCTAGGTGTTATCATAGACAATAAGATGAGCGGAAAGGCTCATATAAAGTATCTACTTAACGAGGGTAAAAGAATTTCTGGAATACTAACGGTTTTAGCGGGCATCAAATGGAGGGGCCACCCGCAACTATTACTTTCGCTGTATCGCGCAGTCTTTAGAGGCGCCATAGAATATGGCTGTATCGTCTTTAAATATATAGGCAATAAGCAGCTCTTCCTTGCCATCCAACGCCTACAATGGAAGCTACTAAGATGTGCTATGGGCTACCGCATGTCTACGCCTATAAATGTGATCCTAGATGAGACTAAAGAGCCTCCACTATGTTATCGTTTCGCATACCTTATTCATAATTATTTGGTCAAAAGCTTCTCTTGCAGCTTTAACCCAGTTATAGCAAGCCTGGAAAACGTACAGTTCAGCACAATCGGCGCTGTTAAGAGAGCCAAAGCATACCGTATGATCCCACTTTTTAGATCTTTCCTTGCAGTTAAAAACATACGAGGAGTTATGCATCGCTCAGTTGCACTTCCCTATTTTACTTATCCTTTTTTTTTCACTCATTAATCAACCTAAATTATTACAGTTCTCTCACCCGAGCATTGACTCTATCTCCGCGCACGAAGCAAACGCATTTTAAAGAATCATTTGCGGAATACACGCTTGGATCAACCACTTTCTACACTGACGGTTCTAAGATTGACTCTTCAAGAGCGGTAGGCGCCAGTGTTTACTCACCAGACTTACCTATTGAAATCCGTTGCAGGCTCCCTCCCGATGCTTCCACCTTTTCGGCGGAGGCCTGGGCAATTTATGAAGCTCTCTTTGTCATTTATCAACTCCAACTCCAAATTCAGCTATCATATTTTCTGATTGTAAAAGCATTCTACAGACAATCACTTCGCACAACATCACACATAATAATTACATTATTACACTCATTCGCAATATGTACAGCAGAGCAGTCGCTGCGGGTTCTAGGATAGTGGTAGCGTAGATCCCGTCACACAAGGGAATCATAGGTAACGAGAGAGCGGACTCTCTGGCTAAGAAGGCCATCACAACAGGCAGAAAATCCAACTTCAAGGTACCATACACGGATCTTTATCACAGATCTAAAACCATTATAAATAACAAGTACAGAGCTTATTTGGAAAACGCGGCTTACACTAAAGGAAGCTTTCACTACTCCCACTATCATAATGATAATGTCAAGCCTTGGTACTATCGGTTAATGCTCAGTAGAGCACAAATAGTAACTATTAACCGCCTTCGCAGTGGTCATTACAACCTGAACCTTAGTCTGTATCGTAAAAATATTGTCGATTCATCAGGTTGTCCTTGTGGGGATCCCTATCAAGATGCAAATCATATAATCTTCAGATGAGAATTAATTCGGGTCAAACCCCCCCCTGTATAGGTATCTCCGGGAAAGTTTCCAACCCATTCTATGGACATATTCCCCCTTATCAAGAACCCGACTCCTAAGTTATGTCGCTTGCTTCTTTCTTATTTTAATTCCTGTGAACTCTACATTTAAATTTCCAGCCTTGCCCACTCACCCCCCCCCTCAAAGAGCAATCATGGCTTACGCCATCTGCTGGGTATATACTTCGTCGAATTGAATAATGGCCGACACTATCCGTGAAGGAATCGTGGGCCATAAATCAGAAGAAGAAGAAGAAGAAGAAGAAGAAGAAGAAGAAGAAGAAGAAG